AGACTTTGACTATTATTAATTGTGAGGTTACACTTCTTATTTTTAAATTCTAGTTCTTTACTTTGCACAAGGAAGGCCGGTCAGAATACCTCGAAAGGAATAGTTAAATGGATGAAACATAATTATATAACATATTTAAAGATTATCAGTTTGATTATTGTCAAATATACTTTCTCAACCTACTGAAACACAAAGAGCTAATAACGCCTCCACGCCTCCACTGAGGCTCGAACTCACAACTTTTCAATTGGAAGTCTAACCCGGGTACCATTGGACCACATAGTCCTGGTAACAATATAACTTATTCAATGCACACCTTCAAGGCTTCAAGTTGTCATTACGAACTTCCCTTGTCACTAAATATAATGTTAGCGAGAATAATTAAGAATTTCAATTTTCAAAAAATACAGATAGTAAAATAAATTATCAAAAAGATCAAAATGGGACATATATAGAGCTAGCACGTACTAATTTTGCTGCACCCAAAATTTTAATTGACTTAAAAAAAAAAAAAAAAAAAAAAAAAAAAAAACCAAACAAAACAAACAAAAACTGACCGCTCTCACATCCCACTCGAACTCGATCGAGTAGTTTATTAATTTGTAAATTTACTTTATAAATTAAGTAATCTTATTAATGTGTATATTTAGTAATTTAGCATAAATTATCAAGCAGTAGTACTCCAAAATAAAATTAGAAAATAATTGAATTGAGAGTGAACTAGTTATGCAATGAATGTTGATGAATTGCAAACCTTTTTATTGTTCCCTAAAAGGTTGATCTCCAACTCCCTCTTGACTTGACATAGTATCTGAAAGGATATAAATTATGGTAATTCAACTGAACACAGAGGCACCTTGAGAGATTGCTCCCACACTGGTGTTAATAAGATTCGATCCTCCTAAACTTCACCAATGTGACCAACTGAGCTGTTTATGCAAACAATTACAAACCTTTTTATGGTCAAAGATGAGGTGGTTACACATGGAAAAAGAGAAACTAACAGTTACAACTATAATAATTGAAATTGCGTTCATGGTGTAGTAGTCAAGACTAGGAGTAGGGATGTAAACGAGCCGAGATGAGCCCGAACCTGGGTAGGCTCATGCTCGTTAATGATAGCACTGCTCGAGCTCGGCAATTGTAGAGCTGCTCGAGCTCGAGCTCGAGCTCGAGTTTAGGCTCAAATTTGAGCTCAATTTTGATCTCGAATTTGACTTGTTTAATTTAAAATTTAAACTACTTTGTTTTATGACTTTTATCCATACATAATTATTAAAGTATTTTAATTTCCCTCCCCTAATTATTATTTTTATATACTAAATATAATATAATTATATTATATATTATATATTATATAATATATTATAAGGCTCGCGAGCGGCGAGCCTACAATGCCTAAGCTCGGCTCGTGCTCGTTTAATCCACAAGCTGCTCGAGCTCGAGCCGAGCTCGATTTTAACCGAGTTCGAGCCGAGCGTTGACCGAACCGCTCACGAGCAACTCGCAAGCGGCTCGGCTCATTTACACCCCTAACTAGGAGTTATAACAAAGATTTACATAACAATAAATCTTAAAATTACTTTGAAATTAGTAATAAACGCTGTTTCTAAACTGGATTCACATAACAATAAATCTTAAAATTACTTTGAAATTAGTAATAAACGTTGTTTCTAAACTGGATTCACATAACAATATATCTTGAAAAATTATCTTGAAATTAGTAATAAACACTGTTTCTTGACCGGATTCACATAACAATATATCTTGAAAAATTACCTTGAAATTAGTAATAAACACTGTTTCTTGACTGAATTCACATAACAATATATCTTGAAAAATTATCTTGAAATTAGTAATCGACAATGTTTCTTGACTGGATTCACATAACAATATATCTTGAAAAATTACCTTGAAATTAGTAATAAACGCTATTTCTTAACTGGATTCACATAACAATATATCTTAAAAAATTACCTTGAAATTAATAATAAACGCTGTTTCTAAACTGGATTCACATAACAATATATCTTGAAAAATTACCTTGAAATTAGTAATAAACGCTATTTCTTAACTGGATTCACATAACAATATATCTTGAAAATTTACCTTGAAATTAGTAATAAACGTTGTTTCTTGACTGGATTCACATAACAATATATCTTGAAAAATTACATTGACATTAGTAATCAACGATGTTTCTTAACAAGATTCACATAACAATATATCTTGAAAAATTATCTTGAAATTAGTAATAAACGCTGTTTCTTGACTGGATTCGCATAACAATATATATTGAAAAATTACCTTGAAATTAGTAATAAACGTTGTTTCTTGACTGGATTCACATAACAATATATCTTGAAAAATTACATTGAAATTAGTAATAAACGATGTTTCTTAACTGGATTCACATAACAATATATCTTGAAAAATTACATTGAAATTAGTAATAAACGATGTTTCTTAACTGGATTCATATAATAATATATCTTGAAATTATTAATAAACGTTGTTTCTTGACTGGATTCACATAACAATATATCTTGAAAAATTACCTTGAAATTAGTAATAAACGCTATTTATTAACTGGAGTCACATAACAATATATCTTGAAAAATTATCTTGAAATTAGTAATAAACGTTGTTTATGGACTGGATTCACATAACAATATATCTTGAAAAATTACCTTGAAATTAGTAATAAACGCTATTTATTAACTGGATTCACATAACAATATATCTTGAAAAATTACCTTGAAATTAGTAATAAACGTTGTTTATTGACTGGATTCACATAACAATATATCTTGAAAAATTACCTTGAAATTAGTAATACACGCTGTTTCTTGACTGGATTCACATAACAATATATCTTGAAAAATTATCTTGAAATTAGTAATAAACGTTGTTTCTTAACTGGATTCACATAACAATATATCTTGAAAAATTACATTGAAATTAGTAATAAACGATGTTTCTTAACTGGATTCATATAACAATATATCTTGAAATTATTAATAAACGTTGTTTCTTGACTGGATTCACATAATAATATACCTTGAAAAATTATCTTGAAATTAGTAATAAACGCTATTTATTAACTGGATTCACATAACAATATATCTTGAAAAATTATCTTGAAATTAGTAATAAACGCTGTTTATTGACTGGATTCACATAACAATATATCTTGAAAAATTACCTTGAAATTAGTAATAAACGCCGTTTCTTGACTGGATTCACATAACAATATATCTTGAAAAATTATCTTGAAATTAGTAATAAACGTTGTTTCTTGACTGGATTCACATAACAATATATCTTGAAAAATTACCTTGAAATTACTAATAAATGCTATTTCTTAACTGGATTCACATAACAATATATCTTGAAAAATTACCTTGAAATTAGTAATATACGCTATTTCTAAACTGGATTCACATAACAATATATCTTGAAAAATTACCTTGAAATTAGTAATAAACGCTATTTCTTAACTGGATTCACATAACAATATATCTTGAAAAATTACCTTGAAATTAGTAATAAACGCTATTTATTAACTGGATTCACATAACAATATATTTTGAAAAATTACCTTGAAATTAGTAATAAACGTTGTTTATTGACTGGATTCACATAACAATATATCTTGAAAAATTACCTTGAAATTAGTAATACACGCTGTTTCTTGACTGGATTCACATAACAATATATCTTGAAAAATTATCTTGAAATTAGTAATAAACGCTGTTTCTTGACTGGATTCACATAACAATATATCTTGAAAAATTACATTGAAATTAGTAATAAACGATGTTTCTTAACTGGATTCATATAATAATATATCTTGAAATTATTAATAAACGTTGTTTCTTGACTGGATTCACATAACAATATATCTTGAAAAATTACCTTGAAATTAGTAATAAACGCTATTTATTAACTGGATTCACATAACAATATATCTTGAAAAATTATCTTGAAATTAGTAATAAACGCTGTTTATTGACTGGATTCACATAACAATATATCTTGAAAAATTACCTTGAAATTAGTAATAAACGCTATTTCTTAACTGGATTCACATAACAATATATCTTGAAAAATTATCTTGAAATTAGTAATAAACGCTGTTTCTTGACTGGATTCAAATAACAATATATCTTGAAAAATTACATTGAAATTAGTAATAAACGATGTTTCTTAATTGGATTCATATAACAATGTATCTTGAAATCATTAATAAACGTTGTTTCTTTACTGGATTCACATAACAATATATCTTGTAAAATTACCTTGAAATTAGTAATAAACGCTATTTATTAACTGGATTCACATAACAATATATCTTGAAAAATTACCTTGAAATTAGTAGTAATCGTTGTTTATTGACTGGATTCACATAACACTATATCTTGAAAAATTACCTTGAAATTAGTAATAAACACTGTTTCTTGACTGGATTCACATAACAATAAATCTTGAAATTACCTTGAAATTAGTAATAAACGCTGTTTCTTAACTGGATTCACATAACAATAAATCTTGAAATTACCTTGAAATTAGTAATACCAATAAATCTTGAAATTACCTTGAAATTAGTAATACACTCTGTATTTTGACTTTCTTGATCATGAGTTTCCTTTATATCTTATATTTTAGTGATCTTGACAACGATTCACATAACAATAAACCTTGAAATTAGTAATAAAGTGTTTCTTTTTATTTTTTATGTTACAATAGTCAATACTACCTCCATTGAAATTCAAATCCACATCTCACATATAAAAATTAATTTGGTACCACTACACCACAAGATCCTATTAAATTAGATTAGTGACTCTTAGTATAATTATTTAATTATACTTTTTAATATAAAAATAAAATAAAATAAAATAAAATAAAAACATTTCCCAGACCCCGGCAAAAAAATATACATACCAAATGCATACCCGCCCGGGCACACGTGCATTGTCCCCTCCATCTGGCAGGCCTCACACGTGCCAATTCCAAAAAACTATTCTCTCCTTACATCCTTGTTCCAGCTTGTGTGGTGCAACAAATAAAAGCTAGAGAGAGAAACCTGGGAGTGATGCAACAAAGATAGTGAGAGAAAGTAAGAGAAGAGATCAAAATCAAAACCCCCCCCCTCTCTCTCTCTCTATATCTCTCTATGTACAAATTTCTTCTTGGGAATTTGCAATATAACTGTTGCCAATACCTTTCTCTCTCTAAACACCACCGCTGCACCGCAACTTCAATTCACTCCATAACCAGATATACATACACACGCGCGCGCACACACACATATATATATATATATATATATATATATATATACGTGCGTGTAGAGAAAGAGAGAGAGAGGGGGAGGAGATATACGGTGAGGCGGCCATTGTAGGAAGCCATGAGAATCAGGAAGCGGTTTCCTCAGCCGTCAGATCCCCAGCTTAATCACTCAGTTATGGCGGTGCAACGACAGCTGGTACGTGAATCTCCAATAATACTGCCTCAGCCGCCCTCAGCCGCCGCCACGGCCTGCTTCTCTCCGCCGCCGCCGCCGCCGCCTGATCATCCGAATCCGCCTCCCGATCACCCGGATCCGACCCGAATCCCGAACCCGACATGGGGCTGCGATTCCTCTCAGCGCAAAATGGAGCAAAAGGTATGTAAACTGCTTCTGCTGCTGCTGCTAGTGATCATGACTTTGAATTCATATCCATACATAAGAACATAGAATAATCCATGACGATGCGTAGATCTTATGAAAGATTTTGGGTTTTGGGATTTGCAGGAATCGGAGGAGGTCAAAGAGGAAGAAGATGATGAGAGAATTACTACTGGTGGTAATGATTCAAAGTAAGAATAAAGAGAAAAAAAGTTACTGACTCACTTCATTCAATCACTCAATGTTGTTGATTCAGTAAAAAAAAAAAAAAAGGGAAAAAGATAGATTCATTTCTTGATTTAACCCACAAATTTTTTAATCAAATACTATTCAAAAATCTAATATTTTTCGATCTTCAATTCATCATCATCATGAGTTCAATTTGGGTTAGGATATAGCTAGGTAGCTACTATCCAATTCAAATATTCAATGATCCCAATCTCATCTTCTTTTTCTCTTTTTCTCTACATGGGATAATGGTCCCCAATCACATAAACGTCACGAAAGAAATTCTGCTCCGTAATTCCTATTCCCATGTTGCACTACCTAGCTACCATGTTATATGCATTACTGCTATATATGCATTTAATTTTCTGATGAGTCAATTTTTTGTATTTTCTCCTCCTTTTGGGGTGTTTTGTTTGTTTCCAGGAAAGATGGCATCTCTACTGCACTCCAAGATTCGTTCATCTCCCAACCCTTCTCTTCTTTCCATCAAGGTATATATACTAATAATTAACTAATTTATCTTCTTAAAACTCTTATCAGTCCACTAGTTTCGTTACTGTTATATTATGATTAGTCTAGCGTAAGCTGAGAAACTTAAGGAATAATAAAAAAAAAAAAAAAAGTAACGAGGAGTGTTTGGATTGGTTGCATGAATGGAAGATGAGAGAGAGGTGCCATTGAAGAAGAGGAGAGGTAGTGGGTTTGAGAAATTCGTAGTAATGGGGAAAGAAACAACGAAGCCGCCGAAGATGAAGTCGAAAACCAACAAGAAATGCGTGCAGGAAAGTGGCGATCATGGAGCAGCCGCCGCCGCCGCCGCAGGCGGCGGCGGCGGCGATAGTAACAGCCGTTATGATGCCGTGAAGAAGACCAAGAGAGGGAGCGAGATCGTGGAGGGGTCACGGTGCAGCCGCGTTAACGGGAGAGGGTGGCGGTGCTGCCAGCAAACGTTAGTCGGCTACTCATTGTGCGAGCATCATCTGGGCAAAGGACGGCTGCGGAGCGTTAACGCCGTCAAGAACCGTCAAGTGGGCGAATCCACGAACACAAAAACAACCAAGAGCCGCAACGCGGAGGAATCGGAAGAAACATCATGGGATTCCTCGAAAGAGAAGCCTTTGTCGTTGTTGTTGGAGAATATTTCTGAGGATGAGGATGATGATAATGAAAGGAAGAAGCCATCTAGCAGTGGTAAGAAGAAGAGGGTGAAGCTTGGAATGGTGAAAGCCAGATCGATGAGCAGTCTTCTTGGACAAACAGACAACCTGGTCGCAACAAAAGTGGCACAAAACGAAGGCGAAATGAGGGTTAATTAACTAATTAGTTTTATTACTGCATGCCTAATTATCAGCAAATAAACCGTGGTTTGGTTATAATATATTGTATGGACTTTGTTATATGGTCGTTTGATTTCTTCATGTTTTCTTCTGTTGTCTTCATGTTCAAAATGAGTTAAATTAAAAACCTTATTTCACCTAAATTTCAATTCCATGTATATCTATCTTTCTAACACCTAGTATATATAGTGTAAATGGCATAACACATGAGCTTAGGCATGCTAGCTACTATTAGTATGCGTCTTCTTTTAATAGTAGACAAATCTAGATAGATCATAGTCATCATATTATAGAAATTCTGATAAAATTACACCCACAATATATATACAATCCTGATAAATTACAATGAAAATGATTGTATATGATGCGTTGTCATGCATTTAATTCTTAACCGTTATATTCTTTATTAATGTGCTAAATCAAATAAATCCACCGCATAAGGAAGCACTATAAATACAATGCATCATAAATATTAATCTTTAATTTCAACAAATTAAAATTGTTTCCTTTAATTTCAAGCCTATCTTATCTTTCTTAGAATATTAATTATTTTTTAATTATTAGTGTATTAATATACTGTTTTCTTTTTTGGATAAAATTTTTACAAAAAAATTGACATCATTTCTAAGGTTTAGGTAGGGGACTTTTGAAATCCTATGTTGAAAAAGTTGATACACATGCCGGGTGGACATGACAGCCCAAAATAAGTGCTGGCTGATTCATGAGAAAGAAGTCGGGGGAACAAGATTACGAGGAACCAAAATTTTAAACTTACGAGGTTTTAATCGATATTGTGTCAATTAATACAAAAAATATATATATATATATATATATATATATATATATATATATATATATATATATATATATATATATATATAAGATTCTTGCAATACTCGTTATATTCAGTATATATCAGATTATAGGTATAAGTTCCAATGCTGGTGAAGGTTTCTCTTGCAGTTGTGCGAGTGATTAATGTGTGTGAGTTTTGTACTTAATGTGGGTGAGTATTGTGCTTTAAAGTGTGTGGGGTTTGTGCTTAATGTGCATGAGTGTGTAATACTTAATGTGCGTGAGTTTTGTACTTAAGGTGCGTGAGTCTTGTGCCTAATGTGCGTGAGTTTTGTACTTAAGGTGCGTGAGTCTTGTGCCTAATGTGCGTGAGTTTTGTGCTTAATGTGAGTGTGTACTTAATGTGAGTTGTTGTTGAAACTTTAAAGTGCATGAGTTTTGTGCTTAATGTGCGTGAGTTTTGCGCTTAAGGTGCGTGAGTCTTGTGCTTAAGGTGTGTGAGTTTTGTACTTAATATGTGCGTGAATGTGTACTTAATGTGAGTTGTTGTTAAAACTTAAGATGTGTGTGTTTTTGCGCTTAAGATGCGTGAGGGTTGTGCTTAAGATGCGTGACTTTTGTGGTTAAGGTGCGTGAGTTTGTGTTCTGAATGTATTTTATTTGTGTGTTGTGTACTTAAAGTGCGACAATGTAATGCTTAATGTGCGTCCACCCACACAACTGCATGGGAAGCACCACCTGCACCCGATCCCTTGCCTCAGATTATATTATCATTCTTGCAATACTCGTTTAATTTTAATTTAAATAACTACATATAAAATTATACCCCGTATAAATTGACATAATATTGATTCTTTGGGTGAAAATGTATAATGGAAGGGTGTAGGATAGTGTGATGTATAGTTGAAAGTTGGTAGCAGCTGCTGCAGGCTATAATGCAGAATTTAAAGTGAAATTCAATGAGCTTATCAGAGATGGCTATGGCCAATGCACATCCCCACACACACACACACACACATATATATATATATATATATATATATATATATATATATATATATATATATATATATAATGAAAATAATGAAATTAGTGTGAGTCAAATACGAGAACATGTCATCACAAATTACAAAATTCAATTCAACAATTAATAATGTATTAAAAGCACACTATGTCGGACTAAAAATACATTGCATAAATTTATTTCTAAATATTGGAGGGCTCAAATCATTCTATATATGAATGATGAATGTATGTACGTATAAGTACGAGATTACCTAAACTTGATACTCCGTAAACACCTTGAGAAAAGGCTGACAAATTTTAACTTGCCTAACCTACGCAGCAGTAAACAATAGACAACGTACTACCCACGTGCATTGATCGAAGCCTTTTTTTTTTTTTTTTTTTTTTTTATAATTTAAAATTTTAAAGTATATTTGAGCAGTTAAAAATTGAACATGTGATATTTTAAATCAAAAGTTATAGACATATGTCACTTGGTCGGGACAATCACACAAGTTTATATGTGGACTGCGAGATGTAATTTAAAGATAAGTTATACATATTTTTCAAATATAAATTTATGTTCGACTGTTATAATTTTGACTTATTTCTCATCAAATATATAAAAAATGATAGTGTTTAATGGATTTCTTCATTGATTTACAGGAAACAATGACCTTCTTTTTATGAAAAAAGGTAGAATCGTTCACCCCAGACGGCCCCAGATCCTGGCTCGACAGTTTGTAGAGAAGTAAATCATGATGGCTCAACTGACAAATACTGGACTTTTGCTTACTGTGCACAGAGAGCCTCTCATTTTGAGAGCTTGCTCCCACATTCTCGTTGGTGAGACTCGATTCTTAGTCTCTTGTGACAGGTTGCACCTCTACGACTAGTTGAGCTACCCATGCGGGCAAATAATAAACTTCTTCAGTTATATAGTATGTGGAGTAATAAATCCATACCATTTCACAACCAAGGATTCATAAAAGGTCATTCATATAGTAATAACGTAATAATGTAATATATTTTTCTTGGATGATGAAAGAAACTTATTACTACTCTGTTTGGTAGAGCTTATAATTTATTTTAAACTACAAATAAGTTATAAGCTCTGTTTGGTAAAACATGAAAAGTTTAAAATAATAGTTTATTTTGAAATCCATCTCAAGTACCGTTTCAAAATAAGCTCTTTGATTTTTAATTTTTTTTTTTAATCTTTATTAATTTACAAGACATCATCCACCATTCATTAATCAAAATCATAATATCTTAGTTTATCCTTTTTATGTCTTTTAATACAAGTAATTCAATAATTAATTTTACCAAACACTTTAATTTCAATTATTTAGCTTATTAGTTGTTAGATTTTCAACTTTCAGTTTTCAGCTAGTTTTTTAGCTAGGCGTGTCAAACAGAGCGAGCCAGCCACTACCCAATAGTGTTCATTGAGTAACATTTTTGTATTCAAGGATTTGGAAACATGCACATTAAAACTCAAACACTCGTAACTAGTTTGCACCCTTTTTTGAGTGACTGAAAAAACTTATAATAATCACTACCCGATTATGATTTTATACCCTTCTTGACCATAAAAATGTAAAGCATTACTTAATAGAAACCGTTGAAGAGGTATGGAAGGAACATCAATACACCGAAAATCTTGATTATGTCGTCCAAGTTAGCAATAATATGCATAATTAAGATTTTATACCGTATTGGGAGAAGATTTTATACCGTATCCAATAAAATTTACCTAATTATTACATGTAATATAATAGTAGAAAGTAAGTGGAGTTACTATAGTCTAATTAGATGAGGCTCTTTCCAACGTCTAACCACACAATATACATACACTGATACACATAATTTAATGTTGCCAGTTGCATATATGTGACCAAATATATTAGTTTGTTCAACGCTATCTTCATAGTTTTAGACCATTATCTCTGACTAATTTATAATAAGGCCGTTGTAAATTATATATTTTGAAGAGACATTATTACTTGTCGTGTATATAACGAATTGATAGACATAAATTAAATATATTACTCCATGACGATCAAAATTAAAGTTTGTAATTATCTTTTAACTTAATACAACAACAATAATAATCGATATAATATAGTATTCGTGACTAGCCAAACCCTCCCTGGGAAGCTAATTGGACGAAGTGGCCTGGTCGAGGCCTCTACCCTAGGGGTGTAAACGAGCCGAGCCGAGCTCGAGCATGGGTTGGCTTGAGCTCGAGCTCGATAAGCATGGTTCGGCTCGAGTTCGAGTTCGAGCTCGGCTCGAGCAGCTCGATTATTTAAGCTCGGGTTCGATTTTGACCTATTTGAATTCATATTTCAATTAATAATAAACATTGTTTTATCCATACATAAATAATAAAAGCTTTAAAAAATTCAAAAGTCCAAACTTCAATGTTTAAAGACTCCAAACACTAAAAACAAGTTTGCAACTCTATTTTAATTACAAGTCAATAGTAGTCATTGATCGTTACCATATATATAATATTTATCTATTAATTTAATTATGGCTCGCGTGCGGCTCGACGAGCCACGAGCCTAGAATATTTGAGCTCGAGCTCGAGCCGAGCTTTGACCGAGCGGCTCGCAAATTGCTCGCGAGCCGCTCGACTCATTTACACCCCTACTCTACCCCATACCGAGTTGTTATACTCTGGATCAGGGTCCACCTTGCAAGGTGGATCCTGATCCTAAACAACGTATAAATTGTTTATTTTTAGTATTGTAATTATGAATTTCTAGAATATAAATTGTGTTTCTATGTCTAAACACATAACAACTGTAAAAAGAAATTTGTGAATACAATACATGGTCATCAAATCATAATCTGTTAATAATAATAATAATAATAATAATAATAATAATAATAATAATAATAATAATAATAATAATAATAATAATAATAATGTTTTTAAATTAAAAAGTATGAGAAGAGGTCCCATCATCATGTTGCTGCCGTTTTTTGAAATGATGATAATAAGGATTATGATATGAAAGCATATCTATGGCATGATAGTGTATAGTCTTATGCTTGCATGATTAGAATAATAATATATTTTTAAAGCGAAAATCATAATATACTATATGTAAATAGATTTAGTTGATAATTTTGCAAATTTATTTATATATAAAACTAGTAATACAAAATTATTATTAAAAATGAATATTATTTATACAATACAACGGCTAGTTTCAATTTAATAATATAATTAATTATATTATGTATACACTACAAACGTGTAATATAATTTCCCAAGTAAAAATAAGTTTTATTTTGTTTTTATAAATCTAATGTATGCCTTA